CTCTGCACTCCCACCTAGCTGTTGCTGCACTCTGCACACTCGCTCGCTGCCACTCCCCCAGTGCCTGCTGAAGCTATTTCTCCACTTTTGCTGCCATTACTCCCCTCCATCCCAGTGCCCACTGCTTCAGTACCATGTGGTTCCTGGCAGTAGTGCCAGGACCACAGAAGCTGGCCTGGCTTGGCCCAGCTTGGCCCAGCCCTGAGGACTGGGGTGATTGCTTATGGTCCTTCCCTGCTTCTCCCCTCCCTGCCCCACTCTTTATTTGAATTTCCCTCTCTGGCAGAGGGAGGTGGGAACAGCCCCAGGGTCCAAGGCCAGAACCCTCTGCTGGGCTGGGGCTACGGGTGGGACAGGGCTGGGTGGGTCTTGCTGCTATGGCTCCTGGGTCCTGCTGCTGGCTCCCTCTGGGCCCTATTGCTGCTGGCTCCTGTCATCTTTGACAGTCAGCCAAGGGCAGATAAATATTAATTTTCTAAATTTTTTAGGGGCCCTGCAGGCCAGATAGAATGGCCTGGCAGTCTGGACTCATCCCACAGGCCATATTTTGCGTGCCCCTGAATTAACCCCTTGCAGGCCCCATGCAGCTTGAAGGCCATAGGTTAGATGCCCTGACATAAACCACAGAATTTCACCCCATTACCTTTGTTTTGAATCTAACTGTTAGTGTTTGGCTAAAGTGTATCTTCTAGGAAAGCATCCAGTTTTAATTTGAAGGAATTAAGTGGTTTATTTACTGAGAAGGCCAAACTTATTTTATTTTGTATCATTTATTTATTACTTTTATTATTTTTATTATTAAAGCCAAACTTTTTATTTACTGAAAAGGTCAAAGAACTATTGACCCTGCTGTAGACCTATTGCATTACTCCTGCTTAACTGGAGCTGGATCATTGTTGATTTCTATGCTTTTTATTCCACTCTCCATAGGACCAGACCCACACACAAATTTTAGCAAACATGAATTGTTAGATGGATGGGTCAGCAGGGTGACTATCGCCCTCTACTGCTTCTGCAGGTTTAAGCGATGTCTGTCTATTTAGGTACTTAAATGCACCACAACTATAGGATGGGAGAGCTGAGTAAAGAAACAAACAGTGCATTTTTTTTTCTATTTTCCTCATCTATAAGAGAAAATTCTGAAAGTACATATTGGTATGTTTAAATGGATGGGCTGACTACATGGTTGTATAGGAAGAGCTGTAATATAGGTTTTTCAGCTCATTTTGTTGTCTCTGCACAAAGCAAAATTTTCAGTATTATTACCAGAAGTATTATAGTGGTACCTACAGGTCCCAGTTAAAAAATAATTCAGTTCTAATTTACAAGGAAGTACACTTTTATCTGAGAGTTTTAAAACAAAGGAGGAGGTTTATTAACAATTCTATTATATATTTTTTTTCTTTCTTAACAGGAAACTCACATTATTCTCTTCGTGGCCAGCAGAAAAAATAGACTTTCTTGTTCATTGCTCCCTACGGAGATTTTACAGGTTGTTGTTGTTATTAAAATACAAGACATTAAATACTGAAAAAGTATGCTTTTCCCATAAATGTAGATAGACTTTTTAAAAGACTGATGCAAACATAACCTTATTTTAATAATGCCAGAAATGTTCATTTTGGAGTCTAGTTGTAGAAATATAATTATATGTATGTGGTTTAAATAAATAAATAAATAAATAAATATGCCATTTCATTAAGAGTTAGAAACAGGTGAATATTAGTAATGATACTTTGGGTTCTCATTGATGCTGGTTTCAGAGAATAAAGAATGAAGCACCAAAAATGTAGTTTTTCCCATAACAAAATGAAGCACTTCTAGCCCTGTTACAAAAAAGTGAACATTGATATTTTTCATCTCATTTGACTAACTTTTATAAGGAAAACTAAAATATTTATGGTGTGTGTGTAAATATATGTGGATTTATTAAGTGAACCAACCTTTTCTGCTTATTCCCAGAAGTCCAGGACCCATTCCATTATGACATGGAACTATTATTGCAGCAGTTCTCAACCAGGGATCTAAGAGACCCTTTCAGGGATCTGTACTTGTATCTAGATGACACTGCTCTGCATGCCTCCTGTGAGCCAGATCAGGAAGTGGCTGCTGCGGAAGCATGCACTCCTGCCTACTTTATATTTATTAGATAACTCGAATGCAGGCAACAGCCTGGTCTCTTGCTCAAGGGTGGATTCAGAGGTGATGCAGTAATATGGCTGTACCTAACTTTCAGATTAGATCATACCCTCAGAGCCCCTGTGGACTTTTTTAAAGTTCCCAAAGCATATAAGAATCCCTCCTCTCTCTCCATGTTCAGAGGCATCTTCCCTTCCCTTCCCTTTGCCTCTCCCTCCACCAGCTACTCAGAGCATCCCTTTCTCTTCCCTCCCCTACTTGCTGCTACTGTTTTCCCTGCTCTGCTGAGGTGGAGGAAGCCTCAGCTGGAAACAGTGACAGCAGCAGAGGCAATGGGCGGGGGGATTGCGCTTTCCTGTGCCTGCTCTTAGGGGGACCTGGCAGGGTGGCAGAATCCTCCCCGCAGCCATCTCCCCTGCTACCACAGTCAGTCCCAGCTGAGCCCAGCCAGGTTATAAGGTGGCTGAAGTGGGCAGGCTGGACTTGAAAGTTTCCACTGCCCTGGGACAGCAGAGGAAATAGTAACAGCAGGTGGAGGAGGGGAGGAAGGGGAGATGCCTCTGAGAACAAAGAGGGAGTGGGGATTCTTATGTGCTTTGGGGACTTGAAAAAACAATTCCCAGAGACTCTGGGCACAGTCTGTCCACACTGGTGCTAGGGGAGAGGGGTGAAACCTGGGAATAGTGATGCTGCTACCCCTGCATTACAGGTGGCTTCTCCTGCTCCCCCACTTTGCCAAATCCTGGATTCACCCCTGCTCCTTCTTAAGCCCTTTCCTGATATGGTTTCACAGAAGACATGTGGGACAGTTTCACCTGCTCATGGCTGCGGCAGCAGCACCGAAGTTGAGAGCCGCTGAGGCATGCTGAGGCCTGCTTCTCTGATTTCTATCAGGGTGGTTCCTAAACAGGGTGCCACCCAGTTCAAAAAAGTTATGTAGGGATAGTCTGAATCTAAACAGTTTGAAACAATTGTATTATGAGAACATTTTTGTCTTGTTGCCTCCCTGAATCCTGTACTTAGTGTGTATGTATGAGAAGCTTGTAGATACGCTAACAGCTGTTGCATTTTGTGTTTTCTTTAGGACAGGAACTACTGTTGTCCCAGACAGCTTGAACTCTTACTTCTTAGTAGTTGTAAAATCAGTAAGTATATTCAAGTCACTTCATATGATAGAAATGTAATACTGTTGTTTGTGGTATAAAAACTTAGGTAACCATAGGTCACAATGAGGAATCAAACTAAAAACTGAATTTAAGAAAACTTTTCTGACTATAATGCTTATGAAAAAATGTAACATCCATGAAACTATGGAATGTATTTATGTATGCAGAAAGGTTGGTGCAAGAGCTTGATGTGTACTGATGAAATGTGCAGATGACACAAAGTTAGGAGGCGTTGCCAAAATGAGAGGATTGTTGGATTATCAGGGTGCGTCCACACATGCAAGCAGGTGCACTTGCAGCAGCTGAAATAGAAGTGGTGCAAATTTGAGCCTGGGCTTTTTGCCTCAGCACATGTGCTCAGACATGCACTTTGTTGTGGAGCAAATTGTGCCACTTGGGGCAAAATAACCCTGCCTAGCTCCTCCCAGATCTGCAGCCAGGGGAAGCTAGAGCCCAGGGCCAGCATCTATGCTGTCCCCAGCAGTATAAAAAGCTGCCCTGTCCTGGCCCCATCAGTACAAAAAGCTGCCCTGGCAAGTAGCTCAGGGCTACTCGCTCTCAGGAGCTTCTGGGGCCTGGCCAATTGGTACCTGGGGACACTACCCCTTGTACTAGCTGGACTGCTGCAGCAGCATCCCAAATACATTTTTAAAAATACCCCCAAATCCATATTCTTCCCCAATTAAAACAAAAGACCACACAGATAGACACACACACACAGACATGTACACACTATAGAGTGAGAGAGAGAGAGAGAGAGAGAGAGACAGCGATCAGATGGGCAATGTTTTATTGGTATATTTACAATGTTAAAGCTATTTGGAAGCCTACCAGTGTCTCTATCATCATGATAAAATTAATTCTAAATACCTATATGTGTTGAGGTGTGCTTTTGATTTTCTTTGCACATGATGGTTGTGTGATGGGGGGACGTGGTGTTTGCAGGAAGGGGTGGGAAGGGGTGTGGGGGAAGGCGGGTG